TATGAATTAATCAGTTATATTTTTTCAACCCTTACCCACTGTCTTCAAGCAGAGCCAATGTAAAGTTAGAAAATACAGGAAAGCTTGAAATAATTCCTGTCATGGCTTCATTCTATACACAAGATAATAATGATCATTAATTAAATTAAAGTAGATTCCATTAAGTCACAGTTATACTTCTAATATTCTGCTCTCCCAGTGAGAGAGTGCTGTCCCTGACCCCCCCTGGTCTTCCAACTGCACTCCTTCTAGAGAACTACAATTAAAATGAATCTTTCCTGTTTCCTGTGATAATACAATGTGTAATAGAGTAGAAGATTGTTATCATGAATCATATGATGGCATATCATTTTCCTTACCACAACTTTCGGAGTAACTAACAAAGTAACTGTTTTACTAACAACTCCATCCTTTGTCCACCAGTCGTCATATGTGACCACTCTAACCGTATTATTGGAAGCCATGTAACCACTATCAATAATGATAGCAAATGAATTTACATAATAATAATTATTATTATATCACTTACCCTCCTGAAGCTGATGGGGGAAATCCATTTGAATTTCTGGGAGTCCTTGGGTTACCATTTTCATCTCTGAACCATGGAAACAGACCGTTTGAGAATCCCTACATTAAGCAGCAATAATATTTAATCATTATTTTGATAGTTGGCTGAGTTAGCTTGCTAAGTCAGGTTGTAGATAAAGACAATGCCAAAGTATGTAGTACTGTAGTGTCAATAAAAACAATGGGACAGCTTACCAAAGCATGTAGTACTTCATGCTTAGCCACAGTGAATATGAATAGGTCACTACTAGCACTTGTAATGCCTCCAGAGCAGAAGTTTATGTACCCAGCAATCGGCCTACATGTATGTGTAAAAAAGTCAACAAATTATTTACTGTACAAAATTTTTTGAATTTTTTCTCCAACTCGTTTTCTTTCTCTCAGATATCTTTCCCTTCCTCATTCCCCTCCCTCTTTCTCCTATTACCTGTCATACTCATCTTCCATTTGACAAGCTCCAGCAAAAGCAATGGTAGACCCACCATTAGCACATGAGCCAGTACTAACAGCAGATATGTATAAGACATAATCAACATTGCTAACACCAGCACCATCAGTACCAGACTCAGTACAAGTGCTAAAGCTTCCGCCACATTGACTACAGCGCTGTATATGAAATAAATGTAAGGCATATATAATTGTACTATAATGGATATTGCATGCTTCAGTCATAAGTATAAATAAAACATGTGACATGATAATTAGTATATTGATTTGATAATTTGATAAGTAAGTAAATAATATTAGTCTAGGATGCTGGTTATTTAATTTGCTTGATAGTTTCATAACTGTATTTACCAGTAAATGGTCCTGAGGTACAGTAGCAGTTC